AGAAACACTATTGACCTATAGCAGCATCTCCACCCCGGCCTCTAAACAGAGTATTACTACCCTGCTGGTCCAGAGGGAGCCATCTGACTAAGAGCACCTGGAGTTATTGGCAGCAGATTATGTCCTGTGTTATTGTTGAGGGCTTTGGTGGGAGTAATGAAACACTGAGCTAAATCACTGGTGAGTTTGGCTCTCTTATATTCTACAAGGAGTTAAGTAAATCACTATAAAGCAAACATTTTATTTGATAGTCTTCTTTGCAGCGCCATTGGTTGTTTGTAACATTTCTTTGGGCTTTAGATAGAGAAGTGTAATGAGCTGTCGCTCTACATTTCTTTCTATCTCAGCTCTCTCTGCAATGCAACATCAACTTTCAAAGTGGTATTAACAAAATCAATGGTCAAACAATCTGGGACAATTGGTTGTGTATTGATGGAATTAAAGCTTATGTATGATGCATTTTTTTTCTTTGTATCTCGGCCCATTCTTTACGCTTGATTAGCTCACAGATCGCTGTCCCACTAACGCTCTGAATCAACAGCGCGGCGACACACATTTGATGATAAAAAATGATACTGCTGTTTTTGTGCTATAATTCTCTACTTCAATAGTTCAATTTATTATAATAATTAAGATCATCTTATAATCTTCGCTCTTTTTAAATGTGTTCACATGTGAAATTGTTTTCCGTGGATTAGATTTCAGTTGAAAATGATTGACACCATCTTAATAGCAAACACATGCACTCAGCCAGACATTTTCAAAAGGACCATTATAAAAATGGGGGTTGGCTGTTCATTCTGAATAGCCTGAATCGTTACCAGGCCTCTCTCGTACATTTGACAACTTACATAATGCATTTCCACTAAAATAGCTTAAGTGTTAAAGCTTCTTTTATGGGCAAAAATTGATTCATGAATGCTTTGAGGCAAAAGCTAACATGAACACAAAGCTTTCAATAACACCCATTTTTTCAGACTGTCAATGTATGAAGCGATTGCATTAGACAAGGTGGCATGCTGATTGCTTTATGAAATCCAGGCTAATTGTTTTGTGGTGTAGTCCTTGGGGCACCCTGCATTAAGACCGGCTGAACCAAGTCAAATAAATATGGCTCTTTGCCCCCCCCCCCACAGCACACACACACATACACACCGCACAGAGAGACCTTCAGCGTTGTGTGGCATTGAAAGTCGCTCTCCAGTGGCCACTTTAGTGATCAATGAAAGAGAATTTATATAGTGGTGGCGGATATTGGCAATATTCCCATGACATAAGGCACATCAAATGGCACTCTGTGTTCTGTATTAAATATAATAGTTTCACTTGCGTAAAAAGTGATTTTCATTGAATATAATACATCAGTATGCTTTTTGAATTGATAAGACCTGATTCAAGTCATCTTCTCACTTTCAGTATAGGCCTTTGAAAACGTGCGTATCTACATTTAAACTGTTACAACGCCATTTAAACTGCTAAGAAAGATGAAGCCTGAATGTCCCAGATGAATGTAAAGCTGTGTTGAATGTGCATCGCCTGTTCCTTGATCCAATTGGCCTCTTCTTTCATCTCTCCTCACATCAACGCATTTATTCATTCCATTTTACTCATTGTATAACCTCTGTATAATCGCAGCATCAAAGGACTTTCTTTTTAGTCAAAGTTTGATCAAGACATTGCCCCCTGTATATTATATTAATCTCCATCTGGAAATCCATGCAATGATCATTTACATTGCATAAGTACATTTCTTTAAGAAAAGAAAAGCAAAACATGTACACAATTCAAGTAATAAAAAAGAATTGAAAACTGACTCCCTTGGCTTTTCTCCTGTCAGCTATTTAATTTAGTTAAAGAAATTACACAAATCCTTTGGGGGAAGATGTGCATGTGTAGTTATTTTTATCGATTGATTCGCCCGCGATAAACGTGTTAACGTTACAGATATTTGCAAGGGGATGAAGCTTTCTAAGTTATTGTGAAATGAAGGCATCAAGGAATCGTTATTGAGTAAGTCTCCCACACTTTCTATCCAATAGAATACATTATTCACAACAAACGTCTTAACTACAGTCATGAGCAATACAGTTTAGAGTCATTGGTAATGTTATAAAGTCTCATCCCTTCATTATAGCTGGATATCTTCATTTAGTTAATTAGCTTTGCTATGATGATAAATAGGTAATTTACTGGCGCAAAAGTTTTCCTGTAGCACTGCTGCATTTATTTCATGTTGTCAAAGTGTGGAAAATATCCTTGGAGGTGGTTTAAAAGTGGCTGTTAACCGACATAGAAAGACTGAAAGGCATAACTTAAGTGTGATCACATCCACGGTGAGAACTAACTACTCAGACTTTACCTGATAAAATCCGTGAAAAAACAAATATTACCTTCCAATATTTACCCTCTAAAAATAAATGTGAATTTATACAGCAGATTAAGATGAAATTGTTCTTTATCTGTCACTTTATATCAACTCTAATCCAGCCACAAAGTCTTTGCTGTATGTTCAGATTGATCTTAATGCCAGATACTGAGTGCACAGGGTGGGGCTAGCGCACAACGGGATCCATAATGGGTGAAATAATTGGTTAAAAGAGACTGGCTTGTCAAAAATATCCCCGCGTTGCGAGGTTGATAAGCGAGAGGATGTGGACCTTCATCGTGAAGCAGGGCCAGCAGCCAGAGGTAGAAACCAGCTCGAAAAGCAGGCTCCCCCCTGGGCTCTCACATCAGCCATCAAATGCTGGAGGTTTGTTAGGTTCTGCCACTCACCAATTATTTGAATTTTATGTAAAGATGAAATGATTTAAGTTGGCGGACGGGAGGTTAAAATGTAATGCTTGAATATACTTGACAGGCAATGAGATCTTTCTGGCAAGGCTTTTCTATAGCCCGCTTTGCATGAAGCTTTTCGAAAAGGACTAGGAAACCACTGCATGCAACGTTTAACAAGAGAACAACGTTTCATTCTCTTCATGAATTCGAAGACACAACTTTTCACTGCTTTATTTTTTGAAAAGCAGGAAATATTCCATTTGGGAAATCGATGGAGATCAGTCGAAATGTGATTACATTTTTTTTATTCATTCCCGAAATTGTGTGAATCAATGAGGTTTTGTGGCCTTCAAACACATTTCCACATAGATAGCAGGACTTCATTTACAAAATCAACTTTATTGTAAAGCTGTTGCATGAAAGAAACTTCAAAATATGTATTATTGACTTGTGAGGGGTTTTGTGTCATATATTTTAAAAGATCATTATTTGTGAATAACCTTTTTGAAAAATGATCATATTAGTGTTTAATAATAAAATAAGCCAATTGTATTATGCCCCTGTTCATGTTTTACCAGTAGGGGTTTAAGACAAGTATCTGTAGTTAATAAAGCCATTGTTTTGTTCTTATCTACGATGAAAAGGAGACATTTATTTTTATTTTCAAGAATGGATTAAAAAAGCTTTATGTCCCTACACTTGTTTAACACTTCCTGTCTATTTAGCTAAAGTCCTTTTTTTTAAATATTAATGAAATCATTGAGTTTCTAGAGCTCCTGAAAGCTTCCAAATGCTCCTTATTTCTCTGTAGCTTGAAATACGACTAAATAGGCGAACATCAATTCAAAGTTACAGTGTGTAGGATTAAGAGCGATACAAGCTGAGATTTAATATAATAATCATAACTATGTTTTCATTTCTTAATAATCACCAGAATTATTTTCAATTTATATAAACCAGTTAAACAAGCAAATAATACATTTAAATAAAGAGCTAATTAAGAAAGAATACATTTTTGAAATGTTGTTAAAGCACTTCAAAACAAAAATCTATGTTTTCATCATACAAAGAAATGCCCTTCACGGCCTATTCATGCTCAGAAATCAATTAGGACTGAAGATGTAATTCCACTGTATTGACATCCTCTGAGAAAAGAAACATGGGTCCTTGTTTGTAATAGCAAATAGTTGTATCACATTTGTTTTCTTCAGCAACTTCACCTTCACCATCTTATAACAAAAGACATTCCTCGTCTGAACCAACATCTTTTCAACACTGAAATTACAAGAAGTTGTCAGAAAATCTTCCACTATGTCTTCGCCATTTTGATTGGATGCATGTCCATGTCTATTATAAGTTTGGCACACTCTTGCTTTAGTATGATCTAAGTGTGTATCACATTAAATTCTTCCAGCGATTAGTTTCTGTCCTTTTAAATGAATACTCCCAGAAAGTTAAATTAAGTAATTTTCAGTCAGGTGGTATTTCTCTTCTGAACAGTCAGTTTGGTGAAAGGCATTCCGAGAGATATTTACATTTTTCTGACAGTTTTTTCTGCAAGATTTACTCAGAGAGCTTTTGTGTCAACGCTGAGGCATCATGCCATCTCGATATCATCGAGGTCAAAAGGGTGAGGGTCAAAGAGCCTCTCTGAACTTTTACCACGATCCACACTCAGTGCTAAGAGAGTCTGTGAGATGGTGATCGGCACGATATCCAATCGGCGGGGTCCTTTGTTTTCCCCGCAGCCATCAGCAAGCTTATTATCATGTCCCTGTCTGCTCCACTCCACCCTGCCCTCATAGCAAACAGGTCTAATTGTGTCTCGTAGCTGCAGGCTCACAGCGGAGGGCGGGGGGGAGTGGGTTTAGATGAGTGATACTCGGTGATGTAAATGGCTGAATAATATGGCCCCAGCGTTTGTGGTGGAGCTCTATCTCTCAGCGGTAATCTAGGCCATCGGGGACCCGCCAGTATGCATCATCCCCCATCAATGAGCCTCTCCGCTGGCTGGTAATTTATTCAGCGCTGCAGCGGTTATTGATAAAGCACTTAAGTACAAATTCCCCTCCTTTCCCAACTGCCTTCCTCCGCATTGTAATATCACAGCGTGGTCTGTGTTGTTTGTTTATCTACTTATATTGTCTCTGTTGATCTAAGGTGCATTCTTTGTTTGTTTGTTTCTCTTTCTGCACGGATCTCTCTGCCTGTTGCTCTCCCAGGAGCTTGTGATGGTTCGGTCCAGTCTGACACCAGCAGCAGTCCTTCTGAGCAGAGTCATCTGGGCCATTCCCACCCAGCGTTCTCCATGGGTCAACAGGTGAGTGAGGGGATTTGCCAAACACAGAACCACACATTTAGTAAAGCCAAAACTCCCTTAATAACTCAAGTTTATATGAGTTGTGTCACCTCTACTATAAATGTTAAGGTTTGCCTCTTGCTTGTTAAGCTTACAGAGGTCTGGAGATATTCCTTTTCTAGATAATCCTGACATAAGAAGATGTAGGACAAACAAATCTAAAAGAACTTTTAAAAATGTGCGCTGTTGAAACCAGGATTTTCAAGTAGCAGTTTCAGGTGTTTTTACACAAATCCTGACATATTATCACAGATATAACACATGTTGGAGAAGCTACTCAGAGGCAATAATAGCCTATTTTATTATCTCCAGATTTGCTTTTGTTATATGTCTGTTTAAAGTGCCTGGAATCTGGACTTTAAGTCTTAAGTGCATCAAAACCAAGTACACATGTTTTTAATACCTTAAATGACATCCTATTCTACCTGACCGATGACCTTCTAAAAATACTGTGAACAATGTAACGGACTGAAGCAGAGAGCTGCCAGCCTCATCAGGTTTAACCACCTGCTCCTCGCCTAGAGCGCTCAAGAGGGAATGGGAAACAAACATGAAGGTACAATACTGACATCAGTGAACATTTCAACCACATGTTTTATGCCAAACAAACAATTAAACAATCCCAAATAAGGTTGTCATAAAGGCCCCCTGGACAAATAAGGATGAATACATAGAAATATGGTCACATTGTAACGCTATCGTCCCATCCCTAATGGCAGCCGTGATGTGAGTGATTTGATAGTTTCAGTTATGAAATCCTATTTCATTGGTGAGTACAACACTCTGAAAGACCCTCACAGACACACTGATAGACTGAGGGTCATTTTCAGATGTAATTGAGTGGTGGCACTAATGAGCTGACAATACAGGCCTTGTCATAACAAGCAGGGTAGCAAAGCGCCCGAGCCTACAGCCCTGTTAATAGCTCAATCAGGCATTGTCCTATCTGATTGGATGTATTGGCCTGGTGGCTCTGTGATGTTTAATGAACATTTATCTCATTAGTGTTGCTCAATGTCACCGCTCAACACACACTCAGAGCGTCAGGATTCCTTCACCGTCTTTAATAAGGCCATTCTCCCTGCACTCAGTGTAACTTACTGACAGTCAATCCTCATCGGGATAAACAAAATGAGAGGAGGAGGAGAGTCATTCAGTTTGGTCGGGCAGGTTTACAGGGTGAGGAATCCCCAGTGAAAGAGTCAATCTGCTGCGAGCGGGGATGAAGAATGAGCTTAATTAAAAGCACTTTTCTGATTACAGACACCCTCGCTGGTGAGAGTCGCAGTTTGTGTAATAGATAAGAAATAAACACTAAAGGAAAGCATCTGCAGCAGGCAGTTACAGTCTGAGCCGCAGCAGGAGCCCTCAACAGTCACCATCTAATATATTAATGCTGTCAGTACAGTCACTGTGAAGCTAACACTTTTCAGAAACAAAGGCGCTCCGCACGCCATACCCAATTCTCTTGTTCCAGGATCAATATGTTTTGATAGATTCTCGCTCCAGAGCCGGATATTGTTCGAACAACCATTATCCGATGGTAGTTTACCCAACATGAATCCACCTTCCTTCTGTTTCCCACTTGCAGTTAGGATGACAAAAGTCTGCTATCTGGGTGATTATGGGCAATTTCTCAGTGCCAAAGCTGCCAAGCAGATAGAAGGGCCTATTCTCCCCTGATGGGCAGAGAGGCTGGGTACCGCATCCTGTCCTGAGTGGGGCTGCTTCCCCATCCAGAGCCCAACACACACCCTGTCTGTGGGCCCCTAGGAGACCACTTCTCAACACTCAGCTGTCAGGCCTGCCAAGCACTGTACAACAGCACCTATGGAGAGGAGGAGTGAGATTATCAGGCGAAAAGACAGAAAGTGAGCTGCTTGTAAATCTAGATGAAGGATGCTGGGGATTCTCATAGGAAAGGCGTTTGTTGTGGCTGCAGAGCTGAGCTAATTGTGTTCACGCTAAATGTATTATAATATCTCATTTTGATGTTTACTTATACAGTGTTCTCATGTTGGATGAAGATCATTGTTAAGCCGGCACAGCAAACAGCCTAAAGACCAAGATTCTTTGCAAGAAAAAAAGGCTTCTCTTGGCAGCTGCCTGTGTTCCTAACAGCTGCCTGTTTCTCCAAAGCTGCCTGTAATGATAAATAAATCAGGGGCTACATCTGATAATTGCAGAATTGTCTTTTAATGTTATTCCCTTCTATGTGAGGCTGTCTTTGCTGTCAAGCCAGGCAGTCTCATTTTGTTTGACTCAGAGATGAAATGTTCAAAGAGCGTCTTTGATTATATGTTGCTTCGGTTCGAGATTAAATTTAGTTTAAAAAGCAAGATTAAACATATGTCACTTGCAGCTAACAAACGTCCCGCCTTTGTTATTGTCCTTTGAGGATTCTTTGAGCCTTCGAATTATTAATTCATTTTGAAAGTTAATGTAATTTTGGATGCTCTCAGATGAGTCAGATATTGTCATTTGTTATGCACGGTTGTTGTGTATCAAAGCAAATGTTGAGAAAAGAAGAATCTTATATAGTCTGTATGATTATTACTGCCAACAACAATCACCTTACAATGCTCTTTTATTCTTTTAACAGCTAAGAGCACAAACAGGTATTCATTTGTTTCAGAAATCGCTCTGAGGTCCCTGTGCACGTTGTGGCTTTAAACCCATGTGACCTCGTACCTCTTAAACTGCAATCACGGATTGTGTCGGAGTGGGTGCAGGCACTCTGCGCCCTGCAGGGTTATCACAGTGACACGCCTGTCACCCAGGAGCACCAGGTCTGGGCGTACGGTGGTCTTCGCACCAGGCAGCCCGCTCTGCCTCCTGTGCTGCACACACACACACACACACACACACACACACACACACACACACACACACACACACACACACACACACACACACACACACACACACACACACACACACACACACACACACACACACACACAGAACAGAAGCAGATAGCTGACAATTGGAGTTAAAGGCTTGTGAACTTAAGTCAGAGTGCAGGAGTCAACACCGTGCAGCCATGCTTACCTGGCAGCGTCTAAAGGCTGCGTTACTGTGGACTCAACACAAGCCGACAGTGTGCTCTTACTATTGTATTCCAAACAATTCAATTCAAACTGTAATTCTGTTTGATTTTTATAGCATCCTCAGTATCTCCTATTTTATACCTCCTGTGTAAATTCAGTTTGACGTGCTCAAACACTGACATAATTTGAAAAAGGTTTTTATCAGAAAGAATCAAATGTCCTCCCTGTGTATTTATGGAGATGTTTTCACCGTGGAACAAACATCACCACTTCTGGCTCAAAGCTCTTGATGAAAAATGTGTTGGTGTGTTTTCCAAACCCACTTCCTCGGAAAATACATTTGAGAGATCTTGTACTGTGCAAAATATCTCAGAGCGACACCTCTGATAACATATCTTTCCCTCTTTGGGTATGACTGCACCGAATCCACTTGAACTAATGTGAATGAAAGGATACATGAAGAGTTGGGAGTGGTGGTTTATATCCCTCATCAAAGGAGTAAAGTACTGCTACTACTTTTTAAAGAAAAGCAATGTGTATTTCAGGCACATTTCTGTGGTACCGGAGATTTGTTCAACGGGATAACACATGAATCACTCTGCATCTCTGAGAAAGAAAAATGTGCAGCTCTTCCACAAAGATTGGATGAGATCTCTATCAGTAACAACAGCAGAGTGTTTTCCCTGTCAGTGTGTGACACCCAAAGCACATAATTCATCTGCAAAACAACTGCATTCATCAAAACACATTGATTAGTGAAACAGTCCCTAAGGTGGCATAGGCGACAGCTTTACTCGTCTCAATTAAGCATCCCAGAATAGTTTAGATATCTTTGAACCAAATGTGATGCCATTTTTGTTATGTACTGTATAACGGCATTATGTATTCTGCGGCACACGAAAGTTAAGTCTCCCAATATTGGATATTATCGTTTTTATTCTTGCTGGTAAATATTTTAAAAAGATAGTTGTTAGAAATAAGTGGGTTACATCAAACTAGAAGTCGACAGATTAAAATGGATGTTAGAGTGTGTCTTGCTTTCATGGTGCGATGTTTTTCTAAAATGTATCTAACTGCTTCAGAGATCAGGATGAGTCATCAGAAATATTCTATCTTTTACAGAAAGAGAACAAAATAATTTCCATGAGAAACCCTCAAAATAAAAATGTTTATGGATATTTATTGAAATGTACGAAGACATCCATGACCAGGGACAGATGATTGGAATTTACAACATTTATTTTGACTTTAATAAGTGCCATGCACAGTACAGATTATATATATGACTTTTATTTTCTATTTGTTACTTTAATTTCAGTTTTAAGTTATTTAATACAAGATGGGATAAGATATACTTTATTGATCCCAAACTGGGAAATGTTAAAATTGTTGCAGCAGCGTGTAAAACACTATTGAAGGGCCACATAACAGAAAACACATTTGAATTCATCAAAAGCAATGACCTTTCATTATAAGAAACATTATATTCCACAAAGCTGTCAAAAGTGCCAGACTTTTTTTCCATTTGACAATAATGTATGATCATTTTGGTCCTATGAAACACACAGAGAACCACCCATCTGTGATGATATAACCAACAATGCCGTATGTTGCTGTGTGTGCAGTCTCTCCTGGTGGCCCAGCAGCTGGCCAATGCAGTGGGCGGCGTGATGTCGGGGGCGGCGCAGGGCATGAACCAGCCCATCCTCATCCCCTTCAACGCAGGCGGACACCTGGGGGGGCAGCAGGGCCTCGTCCTCTCTCTGCCCACTGCCAACCTCCAGAGCCTGGTGGCTGCTGCTGCTGCGGGGGGGCTCATGACGCTCCCGCTCCAGAACCTGCAAGGTAAGGAAGAGGGCAGAGTAGACATCCGTCTGACTAAACAGGGTCAACTTGATGTCCCAGCATGAAAGGAGAAAATAATGCAGGCACTCTAGGAAGCTGATGGATGTTCTAAAAAATCCACTCTCTGATGCTCATGAAGGTTTTTCTGTATTACACACCATGATTCATAAAACATGAGACACCAGGAACTATTACTCATAAATACACCACGTATTGATCCCAGCTAGAGATGTTCTACGTCCATGTATGGCACAGAACTGTTTTTTTCTGTTATGAAAAGGCTTTACAAAGCCCTTGGTCAGTTAAGAATCCTTAAGGGGTTTGTATCCCAAATAGCGGCCATCCTCAACTTGCCCAGAGGAACAGCCATATTAATTACAGGTCAGCGTTTTGCAGTGCAGCGCAAAAGCACTTTGTGCCTCTTTCCTGTGCATAAGAGTGCACTGTACTTCACTTTTCTATCTCTTTTCCTCCTCATCTGTCCATCCACATGGCTGTTCTTATCCGTGCCTTTTAAACTTTAATGCCCAAGTGTTCTCTTTTGATCATAGTTGTAAATGGTTTTCATTTTAATGTTTAAAACATTGTCTCTTTTATACCATTAGATTGAGGGATGGATGGGGAAACCATCAGTCATAAATCTTGGATGAGATAGCTGCACTAATGTAAAAAGATGCCAGGCTACATGTAAAGCAGTGTGTTTTTAGGATGGAGATTACAATAATGCCAGTGCAGCACAAAGTGCAGGGAGCGCTTCCCTCATGTGGGGAAATGGATGGACAGATGCCCTGAGTGAGGAAATGTGGAAGTAGAAGCCTAATGGACACAAACATGCATAAATAACAGCAACCATCGCTGTGGGCAGAGCTTTTAATAAACCTGCATCTATCCAGCGAGCCCTTCAATGTATCCATCAGTAGTGGACGATAATGGGCCCAGCAGGCCCGTCTGACTCACACTTCAACAGATCTTCGTCCTGGTGCGTGAGGAACAACCCAAAGGCTGCAGTGATCTGATGAACTGATCGACAAACTCATTGTCAGGGTGTCAGAATGGCAAAACAAACAGCCCTCAGTCATACTTATTGTACACAAACAAACCAACAGACAGTCTGGAATCCAATGTCCTGATAAAATTCCCCATCCATGAGAGATAGTGAAAAAAATAGTTGTGGAGAAATGCCTCTGTGGCAGATCTTTTTTTAAGCATGACAGACTGCCTGTTCGCACGTCCTCTTATCTAAAGGGGATGCATTGAAGGGACCTCCATGGAGAGAAAGTGACACAAGTCACGAGTGAAGCTAAATGTCTTGACTGTGTCCGGGCCCCTCTGGCCACGCGGCGCTCCTCCACTCTCCGCTGTCTGACTTCATCACAGCTCCGCTGAATGAGTCCTGCTGGCACAGCACCTCTGTCAGACAACTGCAACTCTGGCCTCTGCCCCCGCACCCCCCCTCCCCTCTGGGGCTCCAGGCCTGATTAATCACACGTATAATACAGCGGCACACTGTCGCCGGGGAGCAGTCAGCTCGTTTCACGACCTCAGGAGTAAGTGTGTTTTACAGCACACACGCTGCTAGCTAATTAGTGTCAGATCAGACACAAGACAACTGTGAGGCAAAGTAATGAGACTGCAAGCAGCCCAGCCAATGGCTCTATTTAAATGTAATGAGGCGGCTAATGACCCGCTAATAAGGCTGTTTATCTTGGGGAATGGAGGAAATGTATTCTTTACATTACAGCCGGCATAGCTATAAACTCTTTGTAACAATGCAATGTTTAATATTTTACATCAGATATTCATTTGGGTTTTTCTGTCCAGATGGTTCTTGCATTTCATAACTGATCATATTCAGTTTTAATGAGGAAAAATAAATAAAAAGATCAAATCAGAACAAACAATAACAAAAGCGTCTTTGATCCCGTTTTGATCAGACTAATCAAAGCAGGAGTGAATGTTGATAGAAGGAAGCGGCTGTGAGCTTTAGGAGGGCAGCTCTCTCAGACTGTGATAAATAACTATCACTGTAATGGGGTTGTGCTATACATTTGGAGTGGTTGCTTAAACAACACTGAGCAGCATCTTGTGGCAGACTCAGTAAACACGGGCACCAGTGTAACTGGTTATTTGTCAGAATGATTTATGCCTGCAAACATGCAGTAAAAACAAATTCCCAATGAAACTAAACAAGGGGGAAAGTTATCTTTTGTGACAGAGTGCACACAATTCTAGCTGACTTCACAGAGGCAAAAACTAGGTTGGGTCATGCTTGAGGTCTGTAAATGTGACGGCTCATGTGAATAAAAAATAATACGTGATTTTCACTATTTTTATACAACTATAGAGTAAGTATGTACTACTGAAGCAGACACAACATCTACAGATTGTTTTGATGTTAGATAGGATGCTAACTTGATGCATTTTTAATAGGTTTTCATTTCACATGATTTTATAACAAGCAAAGCATGATTACCATACTTGTAAGCGACTTGTATCAAAGCACTGTACATGTAATGCCCAATGGGAGGAAGCAGAACAAAGTCTCAACTGTCGACTCCTCTTCTCTAAGACTCACTCAAAGGTAATGCAAGAAGCTAGTTTACTAGAGCTCCTTCATATTAATAAGCATATCCCATCTTATTTGCTCTCAGCTGAAAGCCAGGCAGCGCCGCACATCAGAGAGCCGAGTTCTAATGGTGAGGTGAGAGCATTGTTCCTCTGTACTCGTCCGCAGGAAACACAAAACAGCACTCAGGCTTCCTTCTAAAGGTCGGCATCCCACTCACCTGCAGTAATGAGACCCGGTGTCAGTGCCAATCAAAGGCATGTCTGTCGTTTTGATGAAAACGCTCAGCGGTGTGCCGGTGTCGTTCGTAGGGGTGCGGGTGTTGGTACGGTACAAATTAGGGAAATCACTATGCTCATCACACCACCAAAGGGTGGGCTCCTGGGGGAAGAGCCACATGTTTCCACACTAGTAAGACATGTCAGACTGCATCTCTTCTGCCTCAGCTGACTGCTGCTCCTTTAAGAGGTGAGATCACCGGGCCGGGCACTGACTTAACCTCTGTCTGCTGAGGGAATGCCTCTGTGTCCCTTTACCCATTACATTATCCAAGCTTGAGAGTTACAACCATCCTTTTTTAGGCTTGTTATGGCTACACTGGTTGCTCATTGTGAGCTTCTTTTCCCTCATGTGTGTATTTGTTGAATCATTTTTGGATAAGGAACATAAATAAGCCATTGTTTGTGTGCACAATGAGCCTTCAGAGATGGCATTAAGAGGACCCAGTGCAAGCGGTCCAAATTTCCACACATCAACATCTGCCATTTTAACACAATAGAGGCCAAACCCATCCCTTCTCCCTTATCGCTGTTTAATTTGAAGTGTTTCTCAAGCACTATGTATTCCGCGTCGTCCTTTAATGATTTAACTTTGCCGTGGTTGTAAGATGACTCGCAGGGGAGAGAGCTGCATTAAATAAATAACAGTGATAAAATGTAGACCTCATACATTTCAAAGCTAATGCAACTAGCGGTGCAATAGGAGCAGCTGCACACAGTCCTGGAGCGATAATTTGATTGATTTGTTGTGACAGCAGCCAAATAATTGAGAGTGAGAGGTGCTGCCGGAGATGAAGCGCAGTGCGAGGCAGCTTCGCCAGGCAGTCCCAGCTGATATGGCACCCGGGTTCTCATCTCTGCCATTGATATCTGCCACTGGTTTATTGTTTGTCTTCAATAAGCAGCTTGCAAATGTGTGGGGTTACTGCCTTTGTGACACTTTGGCGCGGGAAAAAAAATATCACCAATCAAAATGTACAGAGTAGCGATGAGAAGATTCAAATCAAACACACAAATTCACACTGGGGCTGAATCACAGGTTTACTGTACCTGCACACACACACACACACACACACACACACACACACACACACACACACACACACACACACACACACACACACACTCTCCCACGAGACTCATGATTCATACTGTGATGTTCTCTTGAAGCCAAGATGTGAGCAAATGTTACCCCCTGGTGTTTCACTTGTTGAAGACATGCTAATGATTTGTTCTGAATTCAAGTTACATATATTTCATAATTGCACAAAAATAACAGAACAAATGACGCACAGTGTATTTGAATATAGAGTGATATTGTTTTATGTACGTATCCCTGGATATTTTATATTTTACATCACAGTAGTTTCTTTTGTCTTAACCTTCTGGCTCCTGACTCGTGTTTGGTTTCTGTGGATGGTGGCAGTGTCACTCTGGCTCAGCCATGCCACAGGACAGCACAGCCACAGCCTGAAATAGAAATAAATAAATGGAGGGGGGGGGGGGGGAATCTTTATGGCCGTGTGGAGGAGGACAATAATATTGTTAATCAGATGTGGCTGTGTCTGCTCCTCCACAGCAAACCCTGACATCTGCCCTCACTGGTAAACACTGAGGGAGGCTTTTTGCAAACCTACTGCCATAAATACACACTGTACAAGCCAGTGTCTCACTGTCCGCACTGTGGATGCACACAGTGTAGTGCATTTATTCAAATACATTTTGTAGTAGAAAATTAAGTTTTTGGAATTTATGGTTTTGATGCCACATTGACACATGACCCATTTTCAAACAACTTCCAATACCATTAATAATTAGGAACATGCAAATAAGTCAATTTTAATCAAGCTTCCTTTATTTTACTTAGCTTTTGAGATACAACAGAAAACCCTCTTAAGATGTAAATATGTTTTTAATTGTAAAACAGTGTGTTCCATTCTTCCAAATTCACAGTTTGCCATTGAAAAATATCACAGAAGGTGCCATAATTCAAACCTCAGTAAAATTAACTCTTTTTTTAATCTTACTTATTCTGGTATCCTTAATAAATAATCAGCATTTAAGTTTGTTTCATGGATGGATTAGGCGTCCTAAGCAATTATGCCCAATCAATAGTGTTCATCTTTTAATCATAATAGCAATCAGCCTTTTGTTCCTGTTGAGTGGACCAGTCGATCAAGTCTGAGGTTTCAATAAATAAGCGAGTGGTGCATCTAATAAAGATTAGAATACATAATAGTGTGTTGTTTTCATTATATTTGTATAAAATGCTTCCAGTAAATGCTTTGACCACTTGGCCCCAGAGTTGTTTTGGAGAAATTGCATCTCAGGTTTTTCCTCCCTTTTCTGACCACACTGTTTCCACAAGATTTGCTAAAGGTCTGTCATATTGCTGAGGCGCAATTCAGAGGCTTTCAGCAACAATCTGTAGTCAAGCATTTTAAATGAAAATTGATTTGTGATTTACATGGTCAGTGAGGGGAAAATGAACTTATGAAATGTTGTAAATGAAATATTAGACAAGGTGCAGTGGGAGAGAGCAGACAGAGATGGTAATCTTGTGGAACTGGAATTCCCGCCTGGCAGAACTGGGTGACATTTTACATTTATCTGTGTTCTGCATGAGTTGTAATGTTAATGGTAATTTTATGGGACTGAACCGGAATGAAAATGGTGTTATCACCGATTGCTTCAAATGTGGAATTGTGTAAAGTAGCACAGCTGCATCCTTTATTTCCCATTCCCCAGTAATGTGAGTTATTGCATGATCTGTTCTCTGAGGTTGAATGTGAGTATTCAGCCTGTTTTTATCTGTCTTTCTACTCAGAGTGCCTTAAATCACACACCTCTGCCACAGGATGAAATACACACACTGCTGGATCTTACATATTAGTATAAAGGCCACATTTGTTTTTGAATTTTCATCCATTTCTTCAGTAGGTGTTTGCTTTATAAATACTTTCCCACATCACAAAAATAACAAATTATTGGATATTAATGGCTGTTTCCTCACAAATTGTTACCTTTATAATTGCCTAATATGAATGATAATGTATTCGATAAAACTAAATTAAAACTACTCTATGTACAGCATCAATTTAATATGTGCTCACTTTCAAAATAACATTATAATTTGATGTAACATATTTTCAATATGGATCTATCATGGACTTAATAATACAAGCGAATCAATGTAGCATTACGCACTAATCAATACTAACACTCAGCCCAGATGTTCTAATTTTGATCGATACCTTTTGCAGTGAACGTTTCCTATTCCCTCTCTGGCCGTGTACAGCTTGTATGGATTTTCATACAGCTCGCTCCTCCATGTTTGAAAGAGAAAAGAAGCAAAGAAATGAGTAGAACAAACAAAGTGGTGGTGCAGCAGCAGTCTGGATCACACAGAGGTCATTTTTAAACACAGCTCTCCAGTGTCCCGTGTGTGAAACCAAAGAGTCCGCGGTGACATTTGTCAGCAGATGGTATGGAACCAAACCCCTCACCAGCGGGGACGTCTTAGCCGCTGCTAAAAGCTATCTGTGGTTACTAATTGCTGACCAGGGCCTAATTACCTTAATTAATGGCCGAGGTATCTGGGGGCCAGATTTGTGGGGGCTTTTATGAGTATCAGTGCAGCTTAAAAGGTCCCGTAGGAGGCCTGAGGAGTGTGTAAAGTCCCGTGGGTGCTATTTCTGGACTAACAGCAGACACATCACAGATGGATCCTGTGGCAGAACAGGGCGGCATGTTTGGGGAGAGAGATATCTGTTACCTACACATCAGAAGTAAACCTCACTTAGGCGGGAGAGGAAAAAAGGCTTTTCTTGCCTTTTCTCTCTGAACGTATATTCTACGTTTTTCCTGTTTTACACACAAGCCCGTTTCCTGAATTGCACAGCCGTAATTCACAATGACAAAGTAGACTTGGCACCTTTTTCCACAGACCGTGGGGGGTTTTGTTCAGTGAGCTCTCACTGTGAAATTAGCCCTGGTACTTTCATTTTCCAGCTGCAGTGAAATGGTTAAAAGACACAGATCAGCCAGTATGAAAATAGAACTGATTCAACAAAATCTGCTGCTCCCCCTTGCTTGCTCCTCACCCATCCAGAAAAAAAAACCTCCTGCCTATTCTCCCATTTCCCCCTCTTTTTGTCTCCCCTACCCTATTCTCACCCCTCCCCCAACCCCGTAAGGCACCGTGTCCGCATCTGAAGAAGGCTTGTAAGTTTCAGGTGCATACATTTCTTTTGATGATATATTGTCCCGGTGCGGAATTTCATTTACTGCCGCTGCCCTTTGCTGAACCTGTTGCTAGTCAGTGAGCACGATAAGCGTATAAGTAGCATGCTACTTCATTCATCATACATCGTTCTGGGCTCTCAAATATCTCATATGCGATTCAGGAAGAAACTACTAAACCGGCACAAAGGATCCCACCAGGATCAGCTGAGGTTCCATTAAACGCTGTGTACAAAATGCAGCCCAGTTGCTACTTGTTATCAAATACACGTTTTCACTGTTGCATCTGCGAAACATTAGCCTTCATTTCATGGTGTACACATTGTTTATGTAGCGTGGGGGGAAATGTATCTCAAGTGCAGTGCTCGTGTTGTACATAATTCCGTTCACATTGCATTTTGAGTGCATGCATTTCGAAATCTGTTTTTTCCCTCAATCATAGTGGCCGCCCTGTGTTGTATTAAACAGCATTAATAATCACAAGAGGCTCAGTGTCACTCAGAAGTCTCTACATCACTAAGGCAGACAGTGTTGTGCTGCTGGGCATGTTGTGCTGTGTGAAAGTGCTTACACGCTCCCTCAGACAACCAAAGGGAATAATTAAAGACAGAAGATGGAGGCAGAAGAATGGAAAGCAAATCCCATTGTTTGGGGTTATTTCATCCCACTGAATTTCTTTTTCTCACTTTCTTTTCGCTCTCTTCTCACATTCCTCCCCAAATGCACTGTGGGTATGTGGCACGCTATCAAAAGCATATGTAAGCGAAGCGGCGCAGAACGAAACCCCTATGATGTCCTCCCCATACCCACATTGTCTTTTGATTATTCTACAATCATTTTATATCTTGTGTAAGTTGGGGAGGAAGGGAAGGCTTACTAATGCCATAATCTACAACACTGTAGCTGCTCAGAAACCACAATGCAAGATGTGTTTTAGACAATTTGAAAACTAATAGTGTAATTTCTTTAAGCCCTCGATGTCTAAGTTGTTACCAAAATAATCCACAATGAAATTCAAATTTAAGGTGAACTAGACTATTAAAGCAACTCTACTACACTCCATTTTCTCCAGCAGTAAATGTAGCCCCTCAATCTCTCTCAGCTTTTACTGTCAGTCAGAGAGCACTCAGTCATCTCCGTGCATCAGGCCCGCAATATTGATTTTTCCACCCACAGAAACAGCCGCATGAACATACATTTTGCATGAGGCAAACTCGCAGCCTCCGCTTTGGTCTGACGACACATGATTGGACCATGAACACGAAGAACCCAGTCTGTCCTGCAAGGCAGACAAGCAGGGGGGGCGGGGGGGGGGGGGTCCAACACCTTGTGGACTCTGAAGGACAAATGCAAGGGACCCCTCACTGGGCACCAAAGAATTACAGACAGAATTTAAAAGGAGAGAGAACCTTCTCTGACCAAAAGAAGGGGGATATGTGTTCAAAAGAGTTTGTGTTATCATTCATTTAGAAGTGTCTGACACATTGCATAGCAGTAAAGAGAAATTCTTGAAATCGAAACCATTGAAACTTCCAGGAAATTTGTAAATCAAGATTCATAACATAAATGTTAAGGTATCTAATCATAAATATTTCCTAAAACAAAGGGCAAATATTTCCTTGAATACGTTTTTTTTACTAAATAACTACATTGCAGACAGTCGACTAATTTCACTGATTAACAAATCTTCAAGCAGAGAAAGTTCAATTCATTTTTTAAATTAACTTTAAATAGATTAAACATTCAAACTGTTATCCTCATTAGAAGTTGTAGTATTGGACATTACTGGCTACAATAAGCTTTATATATTCTCTCTAAGGAAGAAAACCATGATATTAAACCAGGCATTACTTTGCTTGGGCCCCCTGGATCTCTGTCAAGGGCCCCTAAAAGTCCCTGGGCCACACTTTGGAAATCAATAACATGGCGTAAGCAACACACGAAAGGGCAACATTATCGAGCACACAGGGATTTTCTTGTGTGTGTAACATCTCCATGGAGAGGATTTGATTCTTTGAAATGCTTCCCCCAGAGTGAGAATTCTACAACACAGCTTGATATTGCCTTGCATCACAAAGTGAAAGCATTATCTCTGGATCCCTACAAGCGATGTGCTTTACTCTTTAAAATCCTGTGGCTCTGCGACTCCACTCAAATCTTAACTGCCTATATATCTTTTTTTATATATCTTTTTTTGTGTATTCACTGAGTTCCCCCTGCAGCAGGACTGAAACACTGGTATTGCCTACTGAGGCTCTTCGTAATGTTTTTGTTCCCCGGTTGTTTCTTCAACGTTTTATTTTCTCCATATTTATTCCAGCCCTTTCCATAGCAGGGATCTGTTTTCATTTTTCTTTGTTAAGCTACCAATTGTATGGATCATTGTTACAAGGAAAACACCAATTTGTTTTCCATGTTGTCAGAAGATAAAATGGTATACTTGTTTTATTAGAAGATACAATTCAAGCAATTTATCAACTAATCCTGTCCCATCATCTTAACAACAAAAATATAACACATTATGGCATCAATAATGATGATCCAATAAGTGATAATATATTATGCGCACTTCTACTTTTAATATTTTAGATACATTTTTCGAATACTTTTTCAATGCAGGACTCATATATTGTCTAATATATATGGATTTCACAGTACTGTTATTTGTAAAGGTTTACACTACAACAACAAAAACCCACAATTGGCAGATTGACCCTAATGCAAATGTTTTGTCACGTGGACGAGTGTTCTTAGTGAAAATACAATTCAGCAGTGAACCGGACAATTGTGTGCAGAAACAGTGTTGCTACCCACTTCATCAGTGTGCGAGTGCTCAGATCTAATCCGCAGAGTAAAAATGACCTTCCTTTGACCACCTTTGTAATTACCAGATCTCATGCAGTCTAAATCTCCTTACCTCCAGTGGAGTAATTATCAGTGTGACTCTCTGAAAAGGCAATTGAGACAGTGCTTTATGGACTCCCATAGTGGAACGTGAGGCAGAGCAGTAATGGGGAGCTTGTTTGTCCCCTCTTGTTAGAGAGCGACAGCTGTGTTTAGACTCAAGCAGTGCCTTAAAAATACAGAGCAAGTCACATTGGATTTCATTAACTCCTGACTGCAGCTTCTGATCTGCTCTTAAATTGCAGCACGCCTCAATTCCGCCAAAGACGTTCAGTATTACAATTAGACATGAATTCCTGTCATGATTTAATTATATATCTGTGCTGAGTATATGAGCGGATATATCAGAAGCAATAACTTAACAAAAGCATACAGTGAGTGCTTCATTTGTGTAAAGCACCTGTGTTGAAAGGTGCTTTATAAATAAACTTGCCTTGCCTTGCACACTTACTGAGTTTGCATAAAACTATTCATACTACTCAATACATTGTCTTCAAGGTTTTCACATGATGTTCTCCTTTTTGATTCCCTTTATGTTGAATTCCTGAGAACATGAGGCAATCACATGTGTTCTTTATTCTGTATGAAGCATACCCATTTAATGCAATAAAAGATGGTCAAAGCCCTTTTATGTACACCTTACTGTATGAGTGTAGCCTCTCTTTGTGTTGGCCTTGACTGGGCCTTTTTAAAAGGGCCATTATATGATGGGCAGTTGATTGATTATCAATTGTCTAAAAAGTTTGCCCTGAATCTACCTGCACACAAACCAAAGATAATATTACTGTTCGGGAATAGGTGTTGTGCGTTGGGAGGAAAACAAGGAGTCGAATCAGCCCCAGAGAGAAAGGTGCTGTAATAGGGGGGCTGGCAGGGACTACTGAGATAGCGCTGGTAATGAGAGAGCAGGCTGCTTCCCCCCACCTTCACTCCTCAACCGCACAGGAAACAAAAATAGCATTTTGTCTGACGAATGAGCCGGCTTTGACCTAGCCTTTCGACCTCTGACAATCAGTCTCGCTTCGTCCTCCAGTTCTTCAGAAGCCGGGGCCGGGACAGTCACAGATAACAGTTGATTTCTTCCGTGGCACTAAAAAGAAAAGAGAGATGGCAGACACTTTCTCAGAGCACTGAGGTTGGAGACTTCTCAGTGCTGGAGTTTCTTAGTCCCATAAGATTTTTGTTAAATGGTTAAATGGAGCATAAAAATACCACAGCTCAGCGTGCATCTGATCATTTAGCTTCACGACTTCCCTCTATGATCTGGCTCATTCCTCATTATAAACATTAGCATAGGAGAGTTGTGACAACAGTGAACGTGGGACCCCTTGCTCTAACACCCCCCTCGGGCGTCATGATCAAGTGGGAGCGCTGCTTGCACCACAGTCGGAGAACTAGTGAATATGAACAACAAAGAGACAGTGGGAGATATAATGAGCAGTGTAGGAGCCCCGGCAGCCTTGTGCCCTCTCTCCATCATAAGTGAAGCTACCACTCTCCTCCTCGGCCCCGTGTCTGCTCGAGGAAGGAGCACAAACAATTAGCTGAGACAAGCCGCTTGGATTATGTGCTCAACCAAAGCAATCAGACAGCTGTGGTTAAAAGAATGAGCTTCAGAATGCCAGTTGCCCTGTTAGAGGGGAAGGGAGGGTCAGCGGCCCTGACAGTCTTAACAAGATGACAGAATTTATAAAGCACTGCTGTTAAAGAATATAGTACCTGCGGTGTAGCCCTTATAATAAGGCCACATGGGGCTTCTTCCATATTCCCTCTGTATTTGTTTTCTTTTGCCTCATATTTTTTTGTTGTACCTCTTGTTTCTCGGCGTAATGGTTAGCGCTGCAGGAAATTCTCCGATCGTCTTTGATCTTCGCCTGGTTCCGATAATTTTTTGACAGAAATCTCATTTTATAACCCCCCTCCCCCCCCCCAATCCTTTGTTTTTCTTTGTTCCCTCTTATACCGTCTTTAAATAGGGCTCAACATTTTGTCGTTGTGAAGTTGCAATAGGAAAAGAGCCCGGTCCTGTCAGGGGCTCGGCGCTCACTAGATAACTTGCCCGAACATTTGAAGTGAGAATTGGACTCTTGCCGTTTGCTCAGGTGATATATAATTCATGATGGGGGTTTGAGAGAGGTGTCAATGTGTCAGGAGGTAGAAGAAATGTAAAAGTGTAGTGTTTACTGGCCAAGAGACACTGGCTTTCTTTTGCCGACTTCTGCAGAGTGAGGGAAGTGGAGGATGATCTGATGTTCATCAAATGTTCATACGTGCCTGTCCTGCAGTCCAAGTGACCACACTAATCAAAGACTTGTCTGCCATGATCTTTTATCCATATTTTATGAGGCAACCGTACTTAAATTATTTAAGTGCATTGATTCTGTATGTATACAAGCATGTCTACGCCTTGCTTGGCTGCATTATCAATAGCTGTTCACAAACACTCTTTTGTTATCCAGTCCTTTGTGTTTCAAGTTTATTATAGTGCATTGTTTATGTGCTTTCTCATAATGCTGTAGATAGGTTTTAGTCTTTCAACATAGTTAAAAAACATTGTACCTTTTTTGGAATTGAAAGGCTTTTTTTCTCCTTTTTTATATCAAAATAAAATTCCAATGTTTTAGTTCTTTAACAATTATTTTTAAGTTGAATTCTCTACCAGTTTGTTGCTTTTAAGATAGTGGACTTAAAGATAATAATAATTTTCTTTTTTCCTTTCAATCCTTTTTCCATATAATCTCTAGATTGGATACTTTAGAGTTCAAGATTACATATTAAGATAAAGATCAGGTTATGTTCCCTCCAAGCTGCATTATCTTCTAAAACACTTTGGATTCTGTCATCTGTTTTATTCATCCATTTATTAAAGCTGTAACATTACAGTCCGAATAACTGAACTAAAGTCATTATATGAACAATATATTCTAAAGGACTATGATCTGTGAATCACCATATACAGAACAGTTTTTCTTTATGGAATATAGTTCCTTTTAAGGATTTCCCAGTGTGTTTGGCTGAGAAAAGGCTGTCAGCAGCTCTCTGAGTGTGTGTATAAAAACACTTTTCTATCCATTATATCTGTGTGGAAACTCAGTTTGTCCTTTTTACTGCTGTGAAGGTCAGCTTAGATGTTGTTTCTGGCTCAATTCTCCACGTATAGTATTAGTGTTGATACCTTTAGTATTATTTGTTTTCTGTGTGTTGGTATGGATATACTGTATGTGTGGACTGATAGAAGATCCACCATAATCCGTAATGAGATGTTATCGAGTGAACTGACTGCCATTGAAAACCACCATGAAGTTGAGGTGCACCTGCACACCATATTTCTATTCTATATTATATCTGAGGTAGACACTCTGGGGCCATGGGAGTATTTGCATGCTGGTGTGGCTGCAGCCCGGCTCACCCTGAGTGTTAACCGTTTTTTTAAACAGCAGAAAAATGTATAAGCATTTAAATGTAGAAATTAGGTTCTAATGGTGAGCCATTATTGGATCCAATTAGTTAATGGGTTTATTTCTGAAGTCTTCCAGTGAAGATGGATGTCTCTTTCCTATGAGATTTTAAGCCATTAAACCAAAGATTCTGACATTCTCCAATTGACAATGAAGACTTTTGGCTCCAGAGAGAGCAATTATATCAGTCAGGCTTGATAGCTTTGTCCTCCAACTAGCTAAATTAAATTCACAGACTCTATCATGCAAGCTAAAAACCCTGGAGGACCTTGTTGTGGCTCCATGCAATTTACATCTGTCTCCCGGTATGCATCCTATGCATCCCACACCTCCATGTGTATATGTATCTGGGGTGTTAGCATATTCTTCAAATAATGAGGACTTTCTGTTTATATGCAGAAAAAAATGTTGTCAATCCCATTTTCATTTGCGTATGTTACAGTATATGTCGAGAGTTAAGGTCACCAGCACAACAATGAACCAAATAACTCTCGGTTTTTTTCATCAACAGCTACCTCAACTCTGAACTCCCAGCTCCAACACCTGCAGCAGCTCCAGCAGATGCAGCAGCACCACCACCAGCAGCAGCAGCAACAACAACAACAACAGCAACAGATCCAACAGATCCAACACCATCACCAACAGACCCTCTCCCACAGCCACAACGTGCTGCAATCCCAGCATCACATGACCCCGCCCAGCCAGCAGCAGACCTCAATCCCCTCTCCGGGCTCCACCTGCTCCTCCACCTCTGGACACCAGCAGCACTCCCCACCCCACCGGCCCAACCACTCCCCGGCCCGCAGCCTTCCTTCGCCCGTCACCCCACCCATGCCTCTGTCGGTGAGTTCATAACCTGCACCAATCCAACTCTTACTGATACCTACGTTTGTGAAAAGGCCTCATGGTGTTTTGGTCTATTAGTTTTTATATTTTTTGGTGAAAAAAAATGGTTTCTCTCACTGCAACTGATGGATCATATTTATTTGTGTAAAGTAACATGAGGTTAAAGATACATAATGCCTCTAAGCTATCATTTGAGATGGTCATAAAAGAAAAAACTATAAGTGTAGATTGCTACTTCTGACATATATCGGATTATATTACTTAATATGTTATCTGGTATCAACAACACTGATCCACTATGTTAAGGCTTAGTTTTATTCGTATTCACTAGTTAATGGTCTTAATACTTGCTAGGGCTATAGATACAGTGATACGAGACTACATATCTTTTTAGATTTTTAAATGCTTTCAAATGGCATAAGTGTTTCCGAGTTTTAAAGGCTGCATTACACTTAAGGTTTACCAAACTGCCCTAATGCTTGCTATTGTACACTACACAGATTAAAGGCTCCAAGAAGTGATCAGTTGAATTTACCCCATTCATGTCATTTTCCATTTAAAGTGAATGGAGTACATACAGAATACTAAGCGAATGAATTCATAGTAAACTAGATTTGTAATTCCTGCAAATCTCCACTTAAAAAACCAAAGTGCTGCTTAGGCAGTTTACTTTACACTTGATTCTCTGTCAGCACTTGATCCTAATCAAGAGGCAGCTTTGGAATAGAGGCTGTCAATGTGGAGCTATTATGCATCTTGTTGCTGAAGCCTTGACGCATTTGATCACATCCAACCACGCAAGAGGCACGACTCGCTCGGGAGGAATTCTGAGGTGATCTAAGCTTTCCGGCTATAATCAGTCCCTTAATCTTCGCTGCTCTTCCTACTCAACCTCCTTTTTAGTCACCGTGTACGTCCATCTATCTCTGCTGCTCTGTCCGTCTGGCTGTCAGTGTGTGACGATAATAACCTATTTTATATCCCTGTGGTTTCATTTCTGGTGGAGACTGGCCAGGGTCGCCTTTCTGTCCCTGGTCACATTCATCAGCGTCAGACCCTTATTGGGTTGTGGTGCAACCTTCTTTATGGCCAAGATGAGTTGGGCTATTTGTTTCCCCCTCGCAGCCCTCTCCGGCCCTGTCACGGCCTAGTGAGACTCAGCAGGAAAAACAGCCTCTGGATTTAATGGGCTCCCGCTACATCGCACCAAACACACTGTCCAGTCTGACTGTGGATACTGACCAACATACCGATTCACACATCACGCCTGCATCAGGCAATGTACAAAGACCTTGGATAAGAGATGCACTACAAATAGACTACTAATACATCTCTGATTTAACTTTGTTACATTTCCTGGAATATGTGAAAATGTCCCTGTGACTCACAAAGACAGCAGGGGTGCTCTAGCTCTCTGCAATAACAACACTGAGACCCTTAGCTTTAAACAGATTGTCTTCTTCTAAACGTAGCAGGGAGGCTGATTATGATGACTGAGGACAGAGCTCCCTGAGGGGGGCAAAGAGGCCACATCAGGTATCATTAAGATATTGGCTCATCAAATAGGATTATGGAATGTGTGTGTGTGTGGGAGGGGGGGGGGGGTAGCAAGGAGAAGAATGGCCGTAAAAGGTTTAGTTTCTCTGGGTCAGTGCTGGTGTTTTCAAAGAGTGTGTCACCCAGCGAGGGGCTCGCCCAAGGACAGGTCGCAGCCACAGCACCCACTCAAGGCTGCAATAGGATTTAAACAGCGGCTCCGCCCCTCTCCACCATCTGGGACAGTGATTGGATTTTCAGACTCAGAATCACTGAGCGACTAACAGGTTAATTCACTTTTTACGTTTTTAATTCTGGGAAACTCCCTCAAAAGAGATTTTGTCACAAACTCGTGAATTGTCACCATGATCTTCCTTTTTTTTTTATTATAAAAGAAGACATAAGGACATTTCTGGTGTTTCCATGCTTCACCCAGAGTTGATTCTCTTAATATAATCAGCATTAAACAGATAGCACCCATATTTCCTATTTGTATTATTCACACGTGCAGAGTCACTCAGCCAGAATCCTACAGCACAGAGCTGCTGAGAAACAAACACTCATTATGTTCCAATTAATGTCTCATTGTAATTATCTTCCCATGGGAGGTGTGATCTTCTTCGTCAAGCCAAAGTGAGGAAATCCTGAGCATTCATTACATCCCTCGTGTTTTTAGTGTTTTAAATTTGTGGAACATAATTAATTAATAGGCTCATAAATATCCTGATTATACAAATACAAATCACACCCCAACAGACCCCTTGAGTCAGTGGTGTGAACTCAAATTAAATCTGCTAATTTGGTTAAGCAGAGTAAGAATGTGCCTTTGCACCCCGCCCTCTCTGCTCCCCATGCAGAGTACAGTAAGATGCGGCCCGTTGGCTGCCTGGAATAGCCACCACAGTGATGACAAATAGACGGGGGGAGATTATGAAATTTGCTTAAGTGTGTTAATGGGCTGATTGCGGGAGCCCGCTGGATTTTGCTGGAAGTTGATTGATTAGAGCTGCGGGTTTTCTCCACGCCCGGAGAGCTCAGGGATTTGACGGGGTAAAGGCGCTCGCCAAGTCTGTTACACCGGAATTGATCTTAATTAGATCTGAAAGACCTGCCACAGCAGAATGGTCGCGGCGATTAAAATGAAAAACAGGAGAAATTACTGATCAAATTAATCATAATGTCGGGCTACAGCTGTAGGTCTGGTGTAATTTGCCACTCCAGTGAGTTACATCAGCCCAGGCAGGGAGAGGAGAGGTAGTACATACTGATCCGTGGCAGCGGGAAGCTTAGGCCAGCCTATCAACTCTCTTATTCCAGTTCCTGTGCCCCGGACCCACATGACCCTGCTGCGCCATCCAGTGGAGCCCCCACATCTCTCCCTGGCTCTGATACAATTGCTCCTTCTTCCCTTTTAGCCAAATCCGTCTACATTATGTCTTTCTTCATTGAAGAGCAACGTCTTCAACACTGCTGCTCTTGTCACGGCCGTTCTGTCACCGGCATGTTGTGTGTTAGCTAATAGCCTCCGACCTTGGTCCAGTGTCTGGCTGGCTGGTTGTTGGGGGGAGGGGGGGGTTGTCTCATGGCAGAGAGATGGAGGCGTCCTTCTTTCCTCCTCTGTCAGACTCCTGCCGTCTGTCTGCGCGTCTGCCTCTACTCCTCTCCGCAGTCGTCTCCTTGATCGCTGTCAGAGCCCCACACTGGGCCTGTCCACTCTCCATCCGCACACTCATAGGGGTAATTACAGCCTAGGGGTCTGCCTCCCATCCCCGTGCTCCACAATTTACCACCAAAGCGTCCACAGACATCTCTCTCCTTCCCCACTGCACCCCGACATCACAGGACCGCGGGGCCTCAGACCCACAAGTGCTGCAATTACCTGAGCCTCCCCTCTATCCTTTTCTCTCTCTCCGTCTATTCTCTCTTTCTCTCTCCTCTCCCCTCTCTACACCTTGGCTCCCTCACTATTCCCTGGCAATCAGCCTTCATTAGAAGCCTCTGGTGAAAACCCATCGTCACCAAGGTCAGCGACTGCCAACCACAGTGGCCTTTCAGAGGCTGGGCTGTCTGCACTCTCCATCTCTTCTCACCTCCTTGCCATTCTCTCCACCTCCTCCTCCTCCTCCTCCCATTCACTCCACCATCCAACTCGAGTCCTGGGCCCATCTCTGACGCTTTTGTCTCCAGCTGAGGCCCCTTCAGACACTCATGTCACTGTTTTCCGCTGCAGTGCACTTTTACTTATGTCACCCGCTGTTAAAATCACCACTGTCCAATTTGCTCAAAATGTCTCTTTTTTTTATGGCCCGTCTCAGCCATTATATTAACATGTGTATTAAATGAGCCCTGCACATCGATTAATTGATTTTCCAGATCAGCACCACGTCTATTCAATTTAGCGAAACAGGCTTCCATCATTTCACGGGGTATTAAATCCAAATTAAAATGACATGCTCAAATGTAGACCCAATGGCTCACAGTGAGGCTTGTCGAGGAAACTAGCAACACTTAAGTTAGGAAAATAGTCCATTATCTATAAAACATCTCATGACTCGACTGTGATTCCTGTTGTATGAAAAAAAAAAAAGCTCACAGAGGTTATTCATAGAATTGTACAGATGTTTTACATATTGCATATAATTGAGAACTAATTTGTTATTTTAATTTTAATCAAATGTATTTGATAATGAGGGTGCTGAAGTCATGTGCTTCTAAATGTATTAAGTATTTCTCCAAGTCTAAAAAAAAACATTCAGATAATCCTGTGGGTAGATAAATTGTTCAAAAACGTCATTCAAAAGTGTCTTAGGGGGTTGGGCTACAGAAATCAAAGTATTTCATCAAATGTTGTATCTTACGTTTAACATTTATATTAAGGCAAAGTTGCAAAAAATCTGAATACATTTGAGCTGTATGAAGTCTCTCATTTGGACATTATCTATGACAACTGTTTAAAAGTCCAATTTTTTTATAATAAAGTATAAATGGCATGTGTTGCCAGACTGCTGCTGGTTGTGGCAGTGTGGTTCAGAGCGTGAGCAGGCCCTCAGCTCTCCAGCAGCTCAGCCTCTTATTAATGCACAGGAGATCCGGCTCTTAAGAAGGCAGAAAATTGCCTTACATAACAAGCGCTCCACAATTTAGAAATACAAATGTGCACTGTTGACTGAAGCAGAAAATAAGACTGTTGCCCATCAACAGAACCACATTTCATATGAATAATTATAAAGCATGGGCGCTAGATGAGGAAAACAACCTGACCATGACAGCTCTACTACTTTTATTTACTTCAAATGAGGGATTAGGCAGGGAGAAAATCTACAGACTTAAGGACCAACGATGAGCCCTGAATTTATAAATAGGGAGAAAGTTACATTTATCATATTTCACCATGATCATTTGGAGAACTGTGAAAGCGCTCACTCTTTTAAAATTACGCCTACAGGCCGCCTTGCACTTAC